CTTCCTCAGGTGCCACTGATTCATTCACCAGGGTTTCCTCCACCAAAATCTAGTGTGATATTAGTTGACTCACATCCCTTTCCTAAGTCCAATCATTCACTATTCACAAATACAAGTCAATCAGCATCAGTGATTGCAACACGGGTCTCTGCTTAAGCAATTGAGCATAAATCACCATTTCTTCAAAAGGTTAACCTGTTCTTCGATGAGCAGTCATTGCTCCTCGTTGGACTCATGTCATTTGGACTCTGGACATTCTGATTGAAAATGTAAAATCACTTTTTAAAGAATTTTCCAACAAGCAGTTAATTAGAGATGGACAGATTATTAGCTTTCACCCAATCCCCCATTGAATATCATGTTGTTTTCAGGGAATTCAAGGGCTACATTCAGAAAGTTGTTTTCGATGTGCACAAAGTTCATTTATGTCAACCACTGAAAATTCAACCCACACAGCAGACAGGCACTGTCTGAGCATTACACATACAGCAAAGTGGCAGGAATCTGACAGTCACACATTCACAGCAGACTAATACTGATACAGCAATCTGGCAGCGTGACACATAGACACACACACTGCTGATCTGCTAACCTGCAGTTTCTGTCCGTCACAGTGCCAGTCTCTGTCACATGAAGTCACATGGTTTCGGTGTGAGCTGGCAAGATAAATACAGAACTGGCTTAGTCATACGATGTGGGGGTGCCGGGACTATAATCTGGTGTCGTGTGATTTTTGACCTTAGTCATAGAAGACAGAGGGTAGTGGTGGAAGGATGCTTTTTGGAATGGAGGGCTGTGACTAGTGGTGTTTGACAGGGATCAGTGCTGGGACCTCTGCTGTTTGTGATCTACATAAATGATTTGGTGGAAAATGTAGCTGGTCTAATTAGTAAATTTGTGGATGATACAAAGATTGGTGGAGTTATGGATAGGGAGGCGGATTGTCAGAGGATACAGCAGGATATAGTCAGTTGGAGGCATGGCAGAAAAATGGCAGATGAAGTTTAATCTGGACTAATGTGAGGCAATGCATTTTGGAAGGTCAAGTACAGGTGGAAATTATACAGTGAATGGCAGAACCCTTAGGACTGTTGATATGCAGAGACATCTGGGGTGTGCAGGTCCACAGATCACTGAAGGTGGCAGTGCATTAGATAAGATTGTAAAAAAGGCCCATGGCATGCTTGCCTTCATTGGAAGGGGCATTGAGTATAGGGATAGACAAGTTATGCTGCAGCTATATTGAACTTTAGTTAGGCTACATTTGGAATATTGCGTACAGTTCTGGTCACCACACTACCAGAAGGATGTGGATTCTTTGGAGAGGGTACAGAAAAGGTTTACCAGGATGTTGCCTGATATGGGGGATTTAGCTATGAAGAAAGGTTTGTTTTCACTGGAATGCAGGAGGTTGACGGGTAACCTGATAGAAGTTTATAAGATTGTGAATGGCATGGATCGAATGGAAAGAACGATACTTTCTCCCAGGGTGGAGAGGTCAATTACCAGGGGATACAGGTTCAAGGTGCCGAGAGGGGAAGTTTAAAAGAGATGTGTGAGACATGTTTTTCACTCAAAGGGTGATGAATGCCTGGGATGCCTTGCCAGAGGAGGTGGTGAAAGCAGATACAATAGCAGCATTCAAGAATCACCTGGACGAATAAATGAATCAGAAGGGAAGAGAGGGGTATGGATCCTGTAAGTAAAGACAGTTTTAACATGGAAGGGCAAATTGTGTCAGTGCAGCCTTGGAGGGCCAAAGGGCCTGTTCCTGTGCTGTATTGTTCTTTGTTCTTATACACACAGCAGACTAGCAGTGACAGAGTTTGGCACTGTGACACGCAGAAACTGCAGATTAATTGTGAGACAGACACAGCAAAAAAGTCTGTTGCACAGACACACAGCAGATGAACAAAGACAGACTGCAGACTGTCAGCGAGACAGACTGACAATGTGGACACACAGCAGACTGACAGTGAGAAAGATTGGCAGTAAGACACATATACAGCATACTGAGAGTGATACAGACTGACAGTGACATATCAGACTGACAGAGACACACAGTCTGACAACAATATTACTGACCAGATACATGTAGCTTTCTGACAGTGAGACAGACTGACACAAACACAACAGACTGACAGTGACACAGACTGACAATGATACACACTGACAATGACCCACATACAACAGACTGACAGAGACACAGGCTAATAGTAATACAGACAGCAGACTGAACATGACACAGGCTGATTTTCGTTGTGTCTGCGCAGGTTTCCTCCAGATGCTCCAGTTTCCTCCCACAGTCCCAAAATGTGCAGGCTAGGTGGATTGGCCATGAAAAATTGCCCCTAGTGTTGAGGGATATGTAGATTAGGTGGGTTACAGGGGGATGGGTCTGGGTGGGAAGGTCTGAGGGTCGGTGTGGACTTGTTAGGGCAAAGGGCCTGTTTCCACACTGTCAGAATTCTATAACTATGATGATGATGAATGTGACACAGCTTGACAGTGATACAGACAGCAGACTGAACGTGACACAGATAGACAGTGACACAGACAG